TCTTATGCACGTGCATAGCATCAATGGTATGGGGGACCTCTAAGTCCTGCCAATAAGGCAGATACTGAAAGAAGATCGACTGTTTCTGGAAAGGTACGCCGGCGACAAGAGGTGTGCTTCTATGTTTCTTTGTCCCATCTGGATTCTTTTTTCCAAGGACGACACGTATGTTTTTCACCATTTCAAACACATGTTGCCCGTTTTTACCTCTCTCCGGAGGGGGTTCATTCTTTGGCTTGTTGTCATAATATCTGAAGTATATCTTGCTACGGTATTTGTGATTTGTCTTTAAGAAATGTCGGTACCTTAGGTAAACTATCTTTTTGGATACATTTAGGAACACCCATGTAGTACCATCTAAGCAGACTAAGCATTCTGTCTTCCCTTTGATCTGTCCAAACAAAACAAACAGCGTGGGGTAATCATTGGTAGTAACAAAGATCGTGGCTCTACATATGACATCCTCCTTTCAGAATGCATCATACATCAGCTCCCTATGCCTCCATAGCCTCTCTATTTCTTGCATCAAAGGCTCGAGGAACACATCTATGTCAATGCTTGCTTGTTTCGGACCTAAAATGAGAATAGTGAGGAGAAGGTACTTTCTCTTCTGACATAGCCACGTTGGTAAGTTGTACATGGTCAAGATCACTGGCCATGTGTTGTGGTCGTTGGTCCTATCATTGAAGGGATTCATTCCATCGGTGCTCAAGCCAAACCGTACATTCCTTGGGTCATCGCTGAATTCTTTGTGCTTGTCATCGAAGCGTTGCCACTGAGTAGCATCGGCCGGGTGTGTAATCACATTATCAACCACCTTGCGCTCATCATCCCACCATGTCATGAGTGCGACTTCCTTAGGGTTTAGGAACATACGCCACTGGCAGGTACCACATTACCAAGGGGAATTCTTCCCTACTTTGCATCGTTGCCTAATGGAGTATCCTCTAGGGGTTGAGAATCTTGTACCACCTTTTTCCCACCCGTCTTCCTCTTGTTCCCTGTGGAGGCTTCATCCCCGTTGTAAGGTCGTTGTTCTTGTCCTGACTAGCCTCACACCTGGGACATTTATCTAGTGACTTGAATATGTCGCCACAAAAAAGGATACAGTGGTTGGGGCATGCATGGATGTTTTTCAACCCCCATTGTCAATGGACTTATAACCTTCTTCGCTTGGTATGTGTTGGCGGGAACTAAGTATGGTTGTGGCAGCAACTATGACAGGAGACGCAAAGATCATTGAAACTACAGTCTGACCAGCCATACTTAGCCTTTAGGACGAGTAACTCAAGCACAAAACGTAGCACTATCCAGTGTGTCGGACAACCCTTTTCAACACCATACACAGTCTCCTTCGATGATTGTTTCACCCTTTTCAAATTTTCTAGACCTTTCGGGTTCTTTAGTAAAATCTCTGGTCGAAGGGCCCAAATCATTTCATCTAAATCATCATAATCATTTTCATCCCCGACACGTGCTCCGCCATCATTATTGGCACCACCTTCATCAATACCATCCCAACCACCAGCATCACCACCTTGTTTATTGCTAAACTCAGGATTCATTCGTGCATCAAGCTTTGCTAAATATTGGGATAGGGATTCTAGGGTTTCATCGTCATCTTCCTCCAAATCATTGCCGTTAACAACAACCATTTCACCATGATGAATCCACACTGTGTAGTCCTTAACAAATTCTCGCATAATCAAATGTGATCAGATGATAGTCACATCTGTCCATGTGATAAGATTCTTGCAATCTTTATAGAGACAAATAATTGTATCCTTATTCTCTGTCAACGTCGTTGCATGCTTCTCTGTGGCTTCAATAAATTTATTCACTTCTTCATGGAAATCTGCCTTTAACCTTAACGAACCATACATCCAAGAGTTCTTGTACTCCATCTTTTACAGCAACAACCAAATAAAATACATTAAAGGACTACTTATTCAAATATATACATAAAGGAATCAAATTAATAATTACTTGAGAATAATTTTATATACTTCAGATATATATTAATATAAATTAAATATGATTACATGAAGCATATCAAACACACCACGGTAGAGGATAATTAATTAATGGCCTATTTATGAATAAATAATTAAAAATGCATATTTGTTGATTACAATAAACAATTTTAAAGACAACTATTAGTAATAATTAATATTTTACCCAATATGTTTCATGCAAACCCTAGTCCAATTTCATGAAATATAACTTTACAAAAATGAAATTAATAAAAAAAAATAAACCCTAGATCTAGATCTAGATGCACATAAAACATCCATAAAACTAACTAATTGTTCACAAAAATCAAGAAACATCGACCAAATAAGGGTATGATCTTATTCCCCTACCTAATTTATCCTAGTACATTCAAAATTTTGGTCTAATTTGCTTCATAAGTAGCTCAAACACCATAGAAGAGAGAGAAAAGCAAAACTCTAATTACTCACAAACCAACCATTAAAACTTCAAAAAAAAGTTTGGAATAGCATTTCCTTACCTTTTACAACATCTCCACCAAACGATTTGAGACCAAAACCTCCCCCTTAGTAAAGCAATTTTTGGGAGGTGCACAAGGCCTCCTAAGCCTTTTTTCTCAGGTAAGAGTGAGTGACCCGAGGAGGAAGGAGGATGCAGCCTTTTATACGTGGAGCATTTGTAGGGACGGCCGGTGATTAAACCGCCCCTACAAATCGCAACAGTGGGGATGGCTGGTGAGTGAGCCACTCCTACAAATTGACCCATTTGTAGGAGCGGCTCGTATCACCAGTCGTCTTTATTGTGCCATTTGTAGGGGCGGCTGGTCTCGTGGGTCTTGAGCACGCCCACTATAGGGGTGGCTCCACCACCAGCCGCCCCTACAAAAAATGTCCCGTTGCTACAAACATTTTTTGTAGTAGTGAATACTTTTCCTATCCCAAACCACGTTCATCTTCCTATCCCACCATCTAAATCCCCATTTAGAATAAAGTTTTTTCATGGGAAAGGTGAAGCAAACCTAAATGGATGAAAGGAAGATGGTCAAAGCTTTTGGAACGAAAGAAACGAGAGAATCTTTTCCTCCTAAATACTAGAGCATAAGAGCAACAACATGATCTTAGAGCATCTCCAAGAGCCTTTCTAAATCTCACTCTTTAAATCATCATTTGGAGTGTCATTTATATTAAAATCACTTTCTATATCCTTTTACTCTCCAACAGTTTTTCTATATCTCATGCGCACTCTAGAGAGTCATTCTCGTCTTCTATTTTTGGCTAGCGAAAAATCCGAAATAGAAGATGGCCATATTTGGATGACCATTTAAAAAAGCTGCTGGAGGGTAGTTTTTAACCAAAATTTCTATTCCTATCATTTAGGAGGGATATAGAGAGTCTCTTGGAGATGTTCTTAGAGGAAAGAAAACATGCATGACTTCTATACCTTTGGTTTTTCGCTTCATTCGCGGAAGCCAGATGTAGCCATGCGATTAGTGTATCGGTGGATAAGATTAGCCATCTGCATCCAACAAATAGAGAGCTTCATTCCATCCAAGCCGAACACGTACTGCTGCTGCTGGGCATTAGGGACCCCACGAAGGAGAATCGGCGCTCCCCTAGTGAGATCATCAAGAAAGAGGGGGGAGGATACTACTACAAAAAATCTTTCACACAACATTTGGAAATGAGGCTTGGAGCGCTATTCGGTGGCCGGGCAGCCGGCCCAGCGCCCGCCTCGGTTAATCCTTAATGGAGGCGAGCAACTTTATGCATCCGCCTCAGTTAAGTTCGATTAACCGAAGCAGTTGCCCACATTAACTGAGGCGGTCGTCCTAAAACAACCGCCTCGGTTAATCAACATTAACCGAGACGGTCATCTTAAGACACCCGCCTCCGTAAATCCATTTTCGGAGGCGGGCACACTATAAGGCTCGCCTTTGAAAATAGTGGCTCAGCTAGGAGCCCAGACAACCCACCTCGGTCCGATATCACGCTCAGTGTATATATACCGCACTTTGGGTCTCATTCTCACCCATCCAAACTCTCTCTCATCTGCTCCCTCATCCGATGGCGCCGCACACCTCACTCAGTCACTCGCCTCCTCTCTCTCTCCCTCTCTCTCTCATGGCGCCTCTCTCTCTCTCTCTCTCAACCTCACCTCTCTCGCGGTGGCGCTCTCCGACAGCGAGGGGTTGCGCCCCCCAACGGGCGGGGGGGACGCGACCACGGGGTGGTGGTGGCGTGCCCTAGTGGGCAGGGGGCCTTGGCTCCCATGATGTTGGCCCTTCCACCTCCTACGGCGGCTCCAGGCAGGGGCGGCGCAAATCCGGTTCGGGGCGTGGCGTATCTCCTCCGGCGCGGATCTTCAAGCAGGGGCAGCTCCGAGCAGGGGCGACGCAGATCTCATCTCAACTGGGGTGGATCAGCTATCGTGCACCCTCCCTCCCTCCCTTCTCCGCCGGATCCGACGAGTGGCGGTGCAGATCTGGCGAGCAGAGCAGCGACATGTGGATGGGCTCGGCGAGAGCGTGGATGGGCTTGCTGGGCTTGTTCATAGGTTTCTTTGTTTTTTATTTGATTTACCGAGGCGGGTATTTGAACCGCATCAGAAAAAATTTATTTATTGTGACCTTTAGACCGAGGCGGTTGGGATTCTCACCTCGGTTAATCATTCCTGTACCCCTCGGAAAAGTTTTTTTTAGTGGCGATGATGAACGAGATCCATAGATAGGAGCGACTTCGTACATTCAGATATAATGTATGGAGCTGGATTCTATACTAGTCGCATTTAATAACGTTTGGAACCGGGATAGGAACGCCCATTGCGCATGCCCTTACATAATCACCTGTGGGCTGTGGCAAGAAATTGATAGTATTGGCGTGCACGACATTTGAGTTTTTGCGAAAAGAATCTAGGCTAGTAGGAAGCATTGCTTCGCTTCTCCGATCAAGCAAGTTCAAAAAAAGAAAAGTAACACAACCAGGTGCTTATTTTTCTTCAGTCTGATGAGACTAGGAAGAAACAAGCAACAGCGACGACGACTCCCTGCCTTGACGATCGCATCCGAACGGGTGATCAACCGCCACGGCATCGTTCACCCGTTTCGTGGCTCGGCGCGTCATCAACGGCTCCGACGGCTCCTCTTCCGGCTCCGCGGCCGTTACATGTGCGCCGGGTGTTGTTGCAGACCGGTGCCTGAACTGAAACTTCTTGTTCAGCGGACCACCGGCACCGCCTCCGACCAGAGTGCTACTCCCAGACGCACCTCTCGTCGTTGACCCCTCGTCCTCATCGTCCACGAGCAGCTCCGATTCGTCCTCCTCCGGCCAGATCTCAGATTCCCAGTCGTCCTCCGTGCTCACGCTCTTGTAGTACGGGTTGCAGCTGAGGCCGCCGCCGACCTCCTCTCCGGCGAGCCTGCAGCGTCGGTTTGATTGCAGAGACGTACCAGAGATTAGTTCACCGTCGATATATACCTGTCTGATCAGAGCTAACCTACACAAGGCGTCCAACCATCAAGGCGCGCGGTGAACAGGACAGACAGCGCGAAGGGACGACTCACAGTTGTGCCGGAGTGGCGGCGCCGGTGAGCGCCAGCCGCGCCATGCGCAGGAAGGACGCGGCCCGTCGCGAGAGGTCACGGAGCGGCGGGAGCTGCAGGCCGTCGGAGCCGCCGGCCATGTCTTGCATGCGCTGAGGCGCTGAGCTCGCGCACGCACAAGCGCAACTCGTGTCTATGGACTGCAGGGAGGTTACTTTCGATGGAAATGAGCTTGATTTGAGGAGGAGATCTGGAGCCTGGCCCGAGGTGAGGTATGTGATGTGCATCGGATATTAGGTGGCCTGCATGTTTGCAGAGGAGTGGAGTGCGGGTTGGAAAGCACTTGCAGCCTCCAATTGCACGTTTTGCATCTGAAATGGAAGAGTTAAGGTCAACTAACGATCTCGAGAGTTGGGCAGCAGTTGACTTTGCATTTGATTTTGCTGTGTTGTTAACTATTATTACCCTAGTAGAAATCAAATGTTGAGTTTTTTTATTATTATTTATTACTACTTACTCCCTCTGTTTTAAATTATAAAATGTAGACATAGTGTAAAGTGTATATCTGTGTGTATAAGAAAAGCTCTGTATCTCGAAAAGTCAAAACGTTTTATAATTTAAAATAGAGGCAATGCCGGTTACCATGCTACAGCTTAGAGAAATAATGGTATCAAGAAACCCTAGTTTATAATTAGGGTGTGCATGCAAAACCATGGTTTAGGGAAAAATATTTGGAGCAGAGTTTCTAAAACTCCAACACAAACTACAGTTCGACAATAGTTTTAGCAAACGCATGTTACTTTCAAACACCTCAAAGTTTTCTACAACTAAAGTATTTTCTAAAATTATGATACCTTTTCATTTTTAAAAACCCCTCAAAATACTTTACATCTAAATATAAAATTAAGTTGGTGCACGGCAGCCTGAAACCACTACCCGTACCTGTAACAGTTTGTCACGGTAAAGACAAGAAAGCAATTATATAATGGTTCCCGTCAAGATGCCTATAATAGATGAGTTATACTCCTAGGTACCTAGATCTTTTTACAACCCGGTGGAATATAAAGTGTACTAGTCTATGTTAGGTCTTTGCACACTAATGTTGTCCAAACTAAAGATTTCCTTGCGCTTGTACCGTCTTAATTAGGACGGTGAGTGTCCATCTATCGGTTTTCAATGCAATATCCACTACTGCAGGAAATATTTCCACAGAAAGCTAAGCAAAGATAGAAATCAACCATTTCTATAGGCACAGAAGTCATTGCATGTACAAACTGATTTCCACATGCAAAAAGACTTAAGGAACCACATGTAAAGCCTATTTCCATATGAGCACGACTTAAGGATCCATATGTAAAACCTACTTCATGGGCAATTTCTTAAGTTAACCACCTATATATAAATTGATTTCCCATAGTAAGTCATCTAAGGAACTGATTGATGCAGGCACAATATCATAGGGTAAGCCAAGGTGACACGTAATCCAAATTGTGTTGTAGTGTGGCCATCTGCTTTTAAGAACGACAGTTGCGAATAATGAGCAAACACTTCACGAATTGGCGCCTTAGGCCTTTAATATATATAAAAATATTTCATCTTTTTCTCAGTATCTGTGTACTCAAGGACATATCTCGTCAACTTGGTGGTGTACTCTTAAACAGTCATTTTGTTACCCATCTACAAGTTCTTGAATTCTTTTGCCTTTGCTTCCATGGTTCCTTGTCGCAAGATACTCATGGAAGGCTTTTTTTTTTAGAAAGGGACTGGATTTCATTAAATTAAAACCTCTTTTACAACTGAGACGTCAATATAAAATAAAATTACATTGAAGCACACCACTAGGTCCCTATACTTCATCTTCCTCGCGTCCGGCGGCGTACACCCCTTTAGGAAGCTCCATCACGACCATGGAAGTACACCAGATCTGGACCCAAGAACCACAGTCCCTACCAACAGAAGACTCCACGAACATGGAGACCGCAAAAGAGGCACGGTAAGCTCAACCACTGTGGGGAGTAAAGGGCACCAAGAGCACAGCGGCCATATCTTCTGAAGGTTGAACCGAACATAAGATCCAACGCCGCTAGCATCACCACCAGCAACCGGAAGGGCAGATCCGCTGCCGCCATGCCAGTAGCATCACCGGTGGCTGGAAAGACGATCCCGTAGAAGGCGAAAATAGATCCAATCCCTCCTCGAGAAAGACTATGCCAACATACCTCGATCTGTCCAGGAAGAGCATGCCATCACCGGAGACGACGACGCATCCACCAGCAATCCGGTATGAAACAAAAAGCCGAATCGAAAACATCAAAACGGCCAACCAAAACCTAGCCCAAATTATTATGGAGGAAAAAAAAAGAACAAAAACCTAAGAAGCAACTTCTGCCCAACCAATGCTGGCAGGGTCTAGACAAGAGATCCCTAAGAAACATACGGGGATATTCTTCTATATATTTTTCTTCATACACAAACATACGGGGATCATTATCAACAGGGAAAATAGCTAGTGGCTTGGTGGGCTCGACAGCTGCCACTTGCTAGTTCTTTCCCCTCCATCAGCCCCTTTCACTTTCAGCCTGCTTTTCTGGCCCAATCACTTGACAGCCCTTCATTATTGTAATCTTTAGGGCAACGATGCAAAACACAAGAATAGTTTCTATCTGTATTTATTGCACTGTCACATAAGTATTGTGATGATGTGGCATGGTAATTACTGAAAAAAATACAGAAACCGTTTGAAGATAAGAAACAGTGTCTTCTCGTCTACGAAGAAACTACTCCCACCAGCGTTGGGAGGACCGACATTTTTTTCCCGGCTTTCTCCAGATCCCGTATGCCCGAGCCCCCTCCCCGAAGGGTGTCCTACATGCGCCCAGAACCGGCCAGAAGCCCAGAAGCGTTGGTTTGCACCGTACCACTATCTTTCATGTTATGTATTTGTATGAACTTGTTCACACTATCGGCTAATGTAAGTGTTAGAGATGTAATAATTTCCTACTTCCTTTGTACTGAATAAATCAACTATATATGCAGTTGTTCTAAATAAATAAAAAACTAAGTTTGAATGAATTTTATAGAAAAAATACTAATATTTACATTACATAAAATTAGTATAGTTAATACAACATGAAATATATTTTTATACTATACATTTTTTTTGTCATAGATGTTAATACAGTCTTATATAGAATTGGCCGGTCAAACTTAAGAAAATTTGATTTAATCTAGAAAATAAATACCAAAAGATTTATGAGAGACATGTGCATATGTGATCTACTCGCAATTGACACGAACAATATGTTGATCATATGGATAAATTGATAGCAACATAAGGCAGGCCAGTGGTGGAGGCACTGGAGGCGTGGTTGTTTGGGTCCATTGACCAAGGATGTTCTTTGTAGCCAATCAAAAGGTTGATGCAGTGTCAAATTAACAGTTGGTTTGAACCATCTATCTTCATGTTATGTAGCATGAACTTCTCGTATAGTAAGACAATGTTCAAGTATCAGAGATGTAATAATTCCAAGTTGCTTTAAAAAGATTTGTGCACAAACTCAGGTTGGGCACATTTTACCCGAAAACCGAACCGAACCGAGCCGAACCAAAACCAAAATTTTGGTTTTTTTGTTGTTGTTCGGTTCAGTTTCGGCTTCTATGGTGGGGAACTTCGGCTTCGGTTCTGGTGTTCAACGGAACCAAACACCTGAAGCAACCGAACCTGCAAGCGCCAGGACTCGAAAGCACAGGCCGAGGCATCTGTTGTCCGCGTAGCAGGCTACTAGCAGCCCAAACCAAAGGCCCAACATGGCCCCACAGTGAACATACACCACTACATCAGCCTGATTGCCTGAAACAGTGAAACCTATCCTCAAACTCGTGAGTCGCGAGCGCGACGGGCGGCAGCGGCGGCACTGGCGCATTGCAAGGCGCAGTGGCGACGGGTGAGGGCGGCGAGGCGTTGTGGGGTGACGCGGCACGACAGCGCGGGTGAGCAGCGAGCGGGGCAGCACGGCGCGCAGGGCGAAAGAAAAGCAGCAGGGCAACGCGCGCTGCCTGCTGGCCGGGCGCGCGAATGCGCCATGAAGCTACGGTCGGGGGGTCGGGGACGGCGTCTGGCCTTGAGGGGACGGTGTACGAGCACAGGCAGACTAGATCCTACGCAGGTACGAGATAGGCAAATCTCGGTTCAAACCGAACACCGAACTGATTAAACCGATTCGTCGGTTTCTGTTTCTCTCTGGAACCGATCAGTTGTGACCTTTCCCAAAACTGAAGTTTTCTCGAACCGAATAACCGAACCGAATTATCGGTTTAAACCGATTGCCCAGCCTGAGCACAAACTTTTAGAAGGTCCACTAGAGCATAACTCAATCTTATGTAGTAATTAAAAAGAAAAAACGGAAAGATAGACAGATATGCCGAATTTTTTACTATTTGGCCTTTTTCGAAAGTTTCTCACAAATAGACCCCTGGCGGAAAGAATTCCGGAAATGGACCCTTGGCTCGGCGCTAGAGTGACTGGCGCCGAGCTCGGCGCCACGGTCACTGGCGCCGAGCTCCTGGGCACGGGGAAATGGCCTGCCAGGGGGCTCGGCGCCAGAGTGACTGGCGCCGAGCCTCCTAAATATCTGTCGCCCCACCTTTCTTCTTCTCCATCTCGCCCTAGCTGCCCTTCGCCCGCGCGCTCGCCCGCTCCTTCCGCTGCCGCTACCAGGCTCGCTTGGTGCCACTGCGCATTGCCCACTCGCGCCTTTCCCGCCCGCCTGCCCCGCCCGCCCGCCCGCCTCGACACACTGTCGCTTGTAGTAAGCGGCCTCCGCTTCATCTGCGGCCGCTGCGGCCTGAGTGAAGAACGTGTCGTCATCCTCCTCTGCCTGTAAGCCCGCCTCTGCTAGAGCGATGAGCTCGCTTCGATCGCCAGTGTCGTCGCGACCTCCTGCGCTGAATGCCCGCCTGGGCTCGCTAGAGCGATGAGCTCGCTCAGTCTGCCAGTGTCGTCCTCACCCTCCTGCGCCTGTATACCCGCCTCTGCTAGAGCAATGAGCTCACTCAGTCTGCCTGTGTCGTCCTCATCCTCGTCTCCGTCATCACACAACACAATCGGTGATTGAACGGTGCGACCAGCTCGTGATCTATGGCCATCTAACTTCTTCTCCTCATACCTTGCACGAGCCACCTCTGCAGCATGTTCCCCGCTGCAACCAATCCCTTTATATATAAAATGCAATCAGTTAGCAACGCGATTATATTACATTTAAAACCAGGCAACGAAAAAAGGTTTTCAAGCACTCACTGGCACATAATGTAGCAACATGCTCGTTCAAGACATACATCTGTACTCTTGTCTCCTCCCTTGCCTCATTCCTTGCCTTCTCCTCCTCTAACGTCATCCGCCTCTCTAATCTCCATTTATTAAGACCAACATCGATCGGGTTACAAATACCGCGCTGTCTAGCAAACTCACGCATCTTTTCTTTGTGATGTTTAACGAATAGGTTGACGTAGTCAGGTCCATATCCCCTCTTCTGTGCAATTGGTTGCCTCTTCTTCAGTTCATCCAAGAACTTAGCTTGACCATCGTAATATTCCCAACTGCATTTCCTTGTGCTCTGTTCAAAAGAAATATTATATCATATATGTTTTAGCAAAACAAACAAAATACGATTTCATGTTTACCAGAAAAATAACGAACCTCGTCATACTCAATCATATGGCCGCAATAATGGCCTATTCCAAGCTCCGAAGGGACTAGGCCATAGTTGGATTTTACACCACATTCGCACATGACAGGAGGTGCTTTGTAGATTACCCGTTCTTTCTTCTTTTCCTTAACCCTCCGCGGTTCTTCCGGCCATTGGTTCTTAGGACCATACAACCACTCCTTGAAACGACACTTCGCCATTGAATACACCTAAATAATGAGACATTAGTACATGAACACATATAGCTCAAGATTTTAACACATACACTTTGCACTTACTTCATGCTTGTTTGGACACACAAACTCTAACGTATTCTCAGGGTTTATCATAGCTCGATCTCCGCAATCACACAGAGGAGGTTCCTCGAGTCGTCTAACTGCGGCTAGGTGCTTCTCCTTAGCCGTCATTGCCGGAGGGTTAGGGGGGGTGGAACCCACAGCTTGAAGTGCTCACGTGGATGTCTCCCTCTAAACCAATCGTCGAAAAAGAGGTACCTAAGATCAAACTTGTCTGCACCATCGATCCACTGAAAGAAAAAGCACCTCTCATGGTCCTACACAATGAGATTCCAACAAACTATTAGTACCATACTTAAACAAATAAAGAAAAAGGATAGTACAAACAATTTCTTACATTAAACCGACTACATGTGTAGAAGCAACGCGCGGCTGTGTCCGGATGTTTCGATTGAAAAACATGGGCCGGAAAACCATAATCACAGTTAGGGACAGGAAGGTCAGGAGGGACGGGGGCATCTTTGCTAGACGCGTCGGGGTATAATTCTCGAGGATGACCCCGTTTTCGCCAAAACTCCTTCCGAAACATTTCTTGCATCTAACAAAACGGATGTAATTTAACAAACATAAATAAAAACATCACAAAAAATATCAATGAGAACCATAACTACAATACAACCAATTTCGTTCTAAGAACCAAAAGCAGTTAACATTATACCCTAAACCTAGGGTTTCTCATTTCATCCACAACAATGAACACATAACATAACTACATGTGGCTTGGTTTGCTAGCTTTTTCCACGCCTTAGAATCAACCTACGGTTGTATAATACATATATTGAGGGATACAATGAAACCCTAAGTGATGACGATTCTTAGGTTCAAAAATCCGACTAATATGTACCGAATCAATGCGAAAAAAACAAGGAGGTGAGCGAGTATACCTTGCTCTCGAAGATCTACGGATCAAATCAAGGTTTTCAAGGTCCAATATGTCGATTCGTGAGGTAAGGTGAAGTGGCGAGAGAAAACCCCGAGAAGGAGAAAGAAGAGGAAGAACACTCGGGGAAGAAGGGTGGGCTGGGTTAAATGCAGGTGGCTCGGCACCAGTCACTCTGGCGCCGAGCCCCCTGGCAGGCCATTTCCCCGTGCCCAGGAGCTCGGCGCCAGTGACCGTGGCGCCGAGCTCGGCGCCAGTCACTCTGGCGCCGAGCTAAGGGTCTATTTCCGAAATTTTTTCCGTCAGGGATCTATTTGTGAGAAACTTTCGAAAAAAGGGTCCAATAGTAAAAAATTCGGACAGATATGCACTCCACGGGCTCTTTGGCCGGGCCCACACGCACAAACTAGTACAACCAAGATGCCAATGTGATAGGATTAGTCAGTGCCGTTGCCGTCTTAACTCTCAAGCCTGCAGACAGACAATCCAGTAGCGCCTGGCTAAGCCTAGCGTGTCAAGTTTGCCTGATTGCATTGCCAAATGTGATACGATGATGCAATGGACGCGTGGACAGGGTCTCATCACCAGTTGCTTTCTGGTTGACCTGCCACTTTGTGTGCAACTACAATGACGCACGCCCCAACCAACCTGTCCGTTTGGCCGTGTGAAAACCCAGAACCAGAAGCAAGAAGCAGCGTTAGGCTCCGATCCCTCGTATGAACGAACTCAACGGCGAAGTCGCCAATCACGTCCGCAAAATCAAAAGACCATCTTGCTGCGCCTGATACTGCATTGTATTGTTCATTTCATCTTACTAGTACCGATTAGAGACTCCATTCATGTTTATCCTCACAAAACACGTAAAAAAGAATCCAGAAATTCTTACAAAAATAAAAATATTCTACCACCAATTATCATTATTTATAATAATAGACATTAGATCTATGTATTTTGTTTTATATAAAAAGTTATTACCTACATTATGAATAACAACATAAACTGACTTCTAAATATTCATCCAAATTACATGTCTATATCATTAAAAGTAGCCTAAGGACATGTTTGACAGGGCTTCTTGCGGCTCGGGATCCTCCCACACATCGCACTGTAGCAGTGAGTCATTTTCTCTTTACTGTCAAAATAAACATGGAGCCGGGAGAAGCCACAATTTTATGGCTCCTTCTGCTCCGTCTCCTCGAGTACTTAGCGCGTCTAAGTACCATACTAATTTCATCTAAAATACCCATACATGCCATTATAAAATATATAAAATAATAATCTTAGTTTGTGTCTAAATTAGCCACCTCTCATTGTGAAGGATAATGTATCACTACACCACAACACCGAGATTAGCGATGGACGATCAAACGCTAAAAATGGATACAACGACAGACGATCTGTCGCTAAAAAGTTATAGCAATAGATATGCAGACGGTGTAAGTCCTGTCGCTAAAAAGTTATAGCGACAGTAACCCTATGCATTTAAGTCTAAATTACCCACTCATTATCAACATTAAAATAAACCAAAATATCCCCTTCAATCATTATTAATATGTATAAAAACAAGCTCAAAGTAAACATGCATGTCGTGGACACCCTGCAGACCAAGTATACATGCATCGATGGTGATAAAATATTTGAGGGTTTTACCTGTGTGTCATCATAAAAGTTTGTAATTTTCTAAGCCATTAAAATATTAGAATGGTCACATATGACAATGGTCGGAACTTTTTTTCCCCTCCGCCGTTCCATCCACGTTCCGTCAGGTTTTCACGCAGCTCTGACATGTGAGCCAGGCAGTGAAAATGTCCGAAACGCCCATCTCTACTAACCCTATGCTCTCTCGCGCAGTTGCGCTCACGCACACTGAGCGAGAGGCGCCGTGCCCCAGCTAGTCCTCTCCGCCGCAGCCGCGGCCTCCGATTCCGGCTCCGCCGCGGACGCGCTCGTCTCCCAGCTCTGCCTGGGGTTCGCGGCCTCCCGCGCCGCTGCGCTGGAGGAGCTGACGTGCTCCGCGCCTGCGCTGCCGGCGCCCTCTGCGGCCGCGGCCGTCTCCGCGGTGGCGGCGCTGCTCGACTCCGCCAGCGCCGGCGGCATGGATCTCCGCGGCCGGGCCATGGCCGCGCTGGCTGCCCTCGAGTCCTCGGACACCGGCACGCCGCGCGCCCGTCCCTGGCGTAGGAGGCCGGCTGCTCCCGCTGACGGCGGCGTCGTGGGACGCGGCCGTGGCCGCGCGCGGCGGGGTGGCGGCACTCCTGGCCGCCTGCTCCTGCTGGATGAGGGCACGATGATGATGCGTGTCCTGCCTCTCTGGTGGCCTGCCGGTGGCGGTCATGCTATGCCTCAACGCCGGTTATGGTGTCGCTCAGCTCAGCATGTCTTTTGTTGCTGCAACTGCAAGTTTGCAACTCTGCAAGCTGAAACAGATAGATTTGAATTTCAGGAAGTCGAGGCCAAAGCTGACGCTGGAGATCTTCGCCTACATCTTCGTCACTGCGGCGCTAGGGTATGTATCATCTCAATGAAGAAGCTGCTTCCATTACCATTAACACTGGCAATCATTAGAAAAAAAAAGTGTCCCCTTTGATCTCTTGAAATTTCCTGAACTATTGTGTTCGTCAGTAACTAACTCATCAATAGCTGTCAATCACTTCTTCCAAATTCAGTTGAACTAAGACTGAGTAAGCTAGTGTATGGCCTAGTTACTGATTTACTATCTTGTAGTATTGTAAATAGTTAACCTGTGCTGAAATGCCATGTTCTGTATCTCAGAGCCGTTGAGGATAGCTAAACTGCTCAAGGCCTTGTTTAGATTGCAAGTTTTTTCACTCTCTCTCCATCACATCAAATCTTTGGACACATGCATGGAGTATTAAATGTAGATAAAAAAATAACTAATTACACAGTTTGATTGTAAATTACGAGACGAATCTTTTAAGCCTAGTTAGGCCATGATTGGACAATAATTATCAAATACAAACGAAAGTGCTACAGTGCCGAATACTGATTTCTAACCGTCATCTAAACAAGGCCCAAGTAACCACACAATTCAGATTGTCTAGCAGTAGCTTATATTTTATAATGTTTTGCAGGGTGTCAGCTTGAGTAACCACACATTTCATTGACATTCATTCTTCATATTTGTTTGAACTAAGACTAATTTGTCTTTCTTCTTGCAGTGATCAGCTTACCATCTCGATTGTAGGCGCTACAGAGAAGTCTGAGAGAGATGAGATCATGAAGGTAGGAATGAAGTTTTTTTTTAAGATAGAGAGGAATGTAGTTGGAAACGGCAAGGATAGAAGATGCGTTCAGCTCACAATGGCCCTGTTTGTTTCGTTGAAATTTGGCTTATGCTGATGCTTATGCTGATTTGTTGTGAGAGAAGCACTGTTCGTTCTTTGAAAAGTACTGTTGTGAGAGGAAACACTGTTAGTTGTGAGATGATATATATTTGTGTTTTGTTTGGTTTGGTTAGGGGATGAAAGAATCTCGATTTGTATTATTTGCTTTCTGTCTTATATCAGGCTCTGCATGTACATGCCGGTGATAAATGTTTCTATTCCATGCGACCATGCCCTGTTCATCAGAAATCACAAATGTAATATAGTGCAAGGATGAATGCTGCGTAGTCCAAAACATTGTTACATATGATCCAGTTTGAATCACTGATCCAAAAAGAAAAGGGATAGTAATAGCCTCTTCTAAAAACAGTAAATTTGGACCAGCTCATGCAAAAAAATGAAAAAAACTATTTATTTAAATTAGTGTTGCAAATAATTTGAATACCAATTAAATTGGCGTCGATAAAAAGATTTATTAAATTTTGGCACTACGGCAGTTTGGATAGAGTGGCACCAGAGGAAAGGGAAGGAAAATTAGAATTCCAACTGACTCAAGGGCAAAATAGTCATTTTATCCACCCGTTGGACACCGTTAGAGATAAAAGTGGATGGAATGGTGTAGAGGGCAAAAAAAAAAGTTTCAATCAGTGGCATCTGTGAGCACCGAAACTTTTTAATGGCTTGCAGGAAATTGCAAACTTTTTATAATGGCACACAGATAAAATCCTCTAAATATTTCTATAGTTTATTAGTAATCATAAAAAAATGTTTCATTACAAAATCACGTAATAATGACACAAACAATTCAGTTTAAATTATATTATACTCCATTAGAATAAACTATGTAAGTTCTTACGTTGATAAATTTATACATTTTGGCTACAGTATTGTAACATATCTACATTAATAGTTTATTTATAAGCATTTTTGTATAAAGTACTAATACACATATTTTATTTGATAGAAGAAATTCAACATTTGGAACGTTGAAACGTTTACTTATGCCATTGTGGAAACTATCAGTGTAGACATAAAATCTATGCTTCCAACAAAAATACAAAAAACAAGAGTTTTGAATAAAAATACAATAACCACCAAAGCTTCAACTTAAATTGTGGATTAAATAGTTTCAGCAACTATTAAGAAATCTAAACAAATCTAGATCCATGATGTCACAACACATGGTATACAGAAGACCTAATATTACTTAGGCTAAGGTTTTAATTAAACACATAGAATTGTGATGTCAGGGGAGGAGGGAGGGGGGTTGCTATGAAATAGCAATCTTTTAAGTTACTCCTGGTCAACCTTTCTTAAGTTTGGTAGAGACTCTGAGTCAGGTATAAAAAAAACAATAATACTAAATTTTCTTTGATATAAATACCTTCTTAAAATAAAGTATAATTTTAGTACGGATGTTATTTATTTATTTATTTATTTATTTATGACTGTTTAATTTGTCCGGTGAACACTTGGGTAGCATTATTCACCTAGGACTAGCTAGTTAGCATGCATTTTCTCACGATCTAGAAAGGAAGACCTTTTTCTCGCGATGCAAGCTAAAACTCAAGTTCCCTGTGGACTTACGACCTACTCAATCCGTCCTAAAAAAAAAACTATCGTTTTCGCTTCTCGAAAAACAACTTTGGCTAAATATAAAAAAATAATAATATTTATATTATAAAATTAATATCCTTAGATAGATTGTTGAATTTATTTTCATAATAAATTTATTCGGAGATACACATGTTGCATATATTTTTTATAATAAATCTATTCAAACTTAAGGTATGGAAAAAACGACAGTTATTTAGGAATGAGTTAAATGCATGAGAGGCCTCTAAATTTGTCAAGGGGTGTCACTTAGATCTATGAACTTCAAAAATGTATTTCTAGATCACTAAACTTATTTACTGGTGCATCGTAGGTCCACACCAGCCATGTTGACATTTTATCTGACGTAACGCTGACTGTGTCTGCTATTTTGCGTTTAGCGCCTCCTCTGTCTTGGGCATGCACAACCCACAGACAGGTGTTCGTCTCTAAGCGCCTCGAATCTATTATACAGATAGGTATAAAGACAGGTCATACAACCCACAGACAGGGGGTCGGTCTCTAAACTGTTTAATGATTTGCATGTAGTTAGAATCAACTATAAATAAATGTTTGTATACCATTATATGGCTATTTGATAGAAAATGTATCAAGGATAAATAAGAGCAACATGATTTCAATATTTTTAAAACCATCAATATAATAATTATATTTCAACGACAAGTTGCAACGTCTTTTGTCTAATTTCCTTTATTTTCATAGCGTTGCCATATATGCTCGATTAGATCATTCTTGAGTTTCCTTTGTGTTGGCCGAGCTTTGATATATTTTATGGGCAAGAGAGTAACTCAAGTCATATTGTGTTCCGTTTACGTTACAATGTACCGAAAGAGCTTCCCCTTTTATTGCTTGACTGAACAGTAGTGACTTGTTTTTAGACGGTATGAAACAGTAATATTCAGTACGTAGCAAAATTTCCCAAACTTTAGTTTTCAGATAGCATATTTGGCTTCAGTTTTCAGACCACATCCAAGCTTCTAAGATGATGCAACAGTGATTTAATTTGATATAAGAAAAGCGGCTATATTGTAAATTAGCATGCACTATGCTGTGCACTCGGTCCATGAACCGTGGACCGGGGAGGAGATGTGAGAGCGGTGCACCATGAGCCGTGTCCATGACAAAGGTGTATTTGGAGTGTATTTCTGGATTTGTTTTTTAAAGAAAAACGGCCATAATGCAAGCATGACGTCGGAGATGATGTCAACTAGCTAATAAGAGAAGGTTCGGCACGGACGGCTGCTTGTTCCATGCGGAGGAGCTCACGGTGCCATGGCTTGCTCGCCGGCGCTGCTCAGAACTTGAGCTACATGGCGCGGGGCTGGTGAGAAGGGGTGGAAAATACGGAGGAGCTCACCGCGATTCCGATGCGGGGTGTCTCGGCGTCGATTACTGCACGGAGAGGTAGGGAGCCGAGGCGAGGCGGGCGGCAGCTCCGGCGAGGTTGCGGGAAAAGGCGTTGCGGGTGCGGACTGATGCGAAGGAGCGGTGTCGCGGCATCTTCGTGTCTCTGCGGACTTGACGAAGGAGCAAACGAGACCACGAGCGCCCGCGTGGGATCCGAGCACGCCGTCGACTCGAGGGGGCAAGATCGTACAGCGCAGCTGACCCCGTCGATTGGGCCTCGGAGCACGGGCCTTCATCGTCGCTTCGCGAGACGACGGGGAGACCGTCTCTAAGCAGAACGGAGGGGATTTTTGTAAACTTGTCAAAATAGAGACGGGGAAAGAACGACCGCTGTACGTGCCCTTAGACTCCTCTGCTTGTGTTTAAAGAAAGAGAGAGAGAGGGGCCGCACTCAAAGACACAGCTGCTCACTCCGGCCCCGCGAGCTGCCGACCGTGGCCTCGCAGCCAGCGCCGACCGTGTTGGCAGTGCTTAGAACCGTCCGCAGCCTAGCCTTCACTAGAAGCCACCGAGGACCGATGGACGAGCACCTTCGTTGTAGCTGTGAGCCTGTAACATGGCCCTTGCTCCCTACAGCGTCTCGGCGAGAGCTAGCGTCTTCTCTGTTCGCGTCCGGCCGCGCGTTGGCAGGAGAAGGGAGATGATCCATCAGTCCTTCACGAGTCGTGGTCACCTTTTGTCGTGAGTCGTGACCAAGCTAGCTAGCTGCAATGACATCGCAGTTCCGGCCTGCCAAAGAAAAATTGTTATCATGACCATACGGTCGTAAATTCCCTTGCTACTGCTGCATGTTTGCCTGAGCTGGCTGCATGCCACAGGCATGTGTAGATTGCCAGGCAGCAGCAAGGCGCGAGTGCTGCTCCTGTCGACGTGATGGTCTTGTATTTTGTGTTCCTACATTCATTAGAGTAGCTCCATTTGCTTGATGTGGTTCCTGTTTGTTGTACCTGTTCACCGCCTTCTTGGTCCTGTTCTTGGGGCATTGCTGACATTGATTTCCGGCCGCGACTCCACATGCACAGAGACTCCAAGCTTAATGTGATGAAGCAAGCACCACACACACGGTCCATGGATGGCGTGGTCCCCCTGGGGGCTGGGCCACGCCGCGTGCGTACGTCGATCGATCCTGGCACAGTTGGCTTCGTGTGTCTCGTTTATTAGCCCGCTTATCAGCTAGAATCTACAGTATTTTTCTCTCATAATAAATCAGCTTCGACGACTTATCAGCCGACTTTAATACCAGCCGAACAGTTGTTTTGATCATGCACGCTAGCTTAGCTAGGCCACTGAGATTTCCGGCCCTGGCTCCACAGCACATGAGCGGCCCGGGGACGTGCATCCGGCCGGTGCCTATTATCAGCCGATCCAGTTTAGCCAGAGATTCCACGGACACGGTATATACTGTGGTGTTTGGTGTGCGTTCGTCTATGGGTGAGCCTTCACGACTCCCTGAGCCCCGCCAAGGAGTGTTCGGCTGAACTGGATTATTTACTGTTTACGCTGGAAAACACGGTTTATACTGAAATGTTGTGAGAGAAAAATAATACTATAACTAGAAAAAAAAAAAACAGATCAAACCGGCTGACCAGCCAGCCGAACTAGGCGCAAGAACCCATCCCGCCCCAGGCTGCTAGCGGAGGGCTGCGGGCACTCGGGCGGACGCTAGTTGTTAGCACGGGCAGCATGGTCGGCCGTCGGCGTTGGCTGCTAGTTCACTGTCGCGCGCTCACAGGCCCGGCGCGAGGAGCGGCAGCTTCGAGTGCGGTCTCTTTTTTTTAATGCAAATAATGGATGAGGCTAAGATAAACGGGGGTTAAATGCAAAATTGCAGGCACAGTCTGTGTTACAATGACGTGCCACGTCAGATAAAATGCCAACATGGCCGGTGTGGACCTACAGTGTATCAGTTAATAAGTTTAGTGACCTAGAAATGTATTTTTCAAGTTTACGGGTCTAAGTGGCACCCCTTGACAAATTCAGGGACTGCTCGTGCATTTAACTCTTCAGGAATGTACTGTATGGCGCTACATGTCTTCACGCGTGGAAGTCAAATGTTAGCCAGCGTGTGGTGCTGAGAGTGCATCATCACAGTCAGAGGGTCTGCGTCAAGTCGTAAATAATGATTATGGACTGTCGTTAAGCCTTTAAGGGCCGCTAGTTCAGTTTTTTTTATACGTTCAGGCCA